AGAAGAAGAAGAAGAAGAAGAAGAAGAAGAAGAAGAAGGAAGAGAAGAGAAGAGAAGAGAAGAGAAGAGAAGAGAAGAGAAGAGAAGAGAAGAGAAGAGCAGGAGGAGGAGAAAGGACAGCGCAGCAAGGGTTTGACTTGAGAGGGAAACTTTAAGACCCTTGAAGAAATCCCAGGATTGAATCTAAAGATGAGGTAGCACCAATAGAGGCAGAGGCAGTAGGGTTTGAGCTTTGTCCTGAGAACTAAGAACTGCAGCCTTCAATATGGATTGCTTCTCAACATCAAGAAACAAAGATCCCAACCACTGTTGCAGTAGACAGAATCATGATAGATGGAGAAAAGATTGCAGCTGTTCAAGATTTCATCTTTATGGAAAGAGTATTCTGTTTGAAATGTAACTCATTCCAAGGATTGGTGTAGTAGGGGACACAGTGAAGACACAGTAAGGGAGATGTGAGATGGTTACTGGATGGTAGAACTACTGCAGGGGACCAGAATGGGTGTGAGCGATGGAGATGGAGTCCACTCTCTTGGAGGTCTGGGACTAGGTTTTTCACAGAATGCTAGGGTCAGCCTTAGGAATCTGGGAGAACTACCAGGACTCAAGGAGAGCACTTTAGAGTTTACAAGAAGTGGGGCAATTCAGCCAAACCTACCTGGTTCCCAGCAGCATGGCTATGCACTTGGCAGTATGTTTTTGTGATGAAGAGTCTGACGAATTAAATGACTGGTAAACCAAAGAGGCATTGGTGTGGGTCCAAGTTTGGGGAAACTTCCAGAACCCTGATTGAATGAGTGGTTCAACCTCTGCGCAAGAACAGAAGGAAAAGGGGCAGTCACACAGTGGCCAAAGTGTAGTTTTGAGAACCAAGCTTACAAGGGAGGCTACCTGGGCCTAGACTATGGGAGGCTTTCTCGAAATTCAAGTAAGGATTGGTTAGTTATCACCCTCAATCCAAGCTCTGGATCTCAGGGAATAACCATTGGAAGTCCCACACCAAGCTTCTAACTCATGCAGGTAGACGCCTACTCAGAGCTTCAGCCTCTTCTTCAGGGAGGCAGTTAATTAGCAATAACTAGCAAGCACCTAGCAAGGCATTGACTCCTTAGGTTGTGTGCTGTTGTATCAGTTTCAACTCATCACAAAGTAGAACTTTCAAATGGGAATTTCCAAGGGTACAGTCTTTATGGAAGCAGATCACCAGATGTGGCCCCCTAGACCTTTGTGAGTTAAAACCTCTCACCTTCCACTTGGCAACTGAGAACTAAAGCAGGCGTCATTGGGTCCCCTACCTTTGACAAAGCTAGTGGTCCCCCAGGAAGAGTAGGATCTTTTCAAAGGTTACTTCTTGTGGCTTTCAGGGACCATCAAGTCTATGATGATTCATCGTAACCCTACGAACAGCAAATGTGAAGTTTCACCTGTTCTGTCCCATCATCATGATCTCTTGTTACACTCAAGCCCAGTGTGATGGTCACTGTGTTAATCCGTCTCATTGAGGGTGTTCTTCTGTGACCCCTTACCTGTGGCAAGGCAAATGTTAAACCAAATGCTTAATCAGAAATTTTAAAAAGCACAAATACAAACTGGAATTCCTCTTTTGAAGATTGCAAGAAATTAGTTGCTTCCTGTAGTCAAGCAGCAGCAAGGGCCTCCTGCAGAAGGAATGTTAACAGTCTGTACTTGTAAACTACTTCCTTCCTGAGCCAAGCATAAGGTTGACAATAGAGGAAAAACTCGGCTTCACTTGGAAAATAATTCTCTTTGTGATTTACTTCCCGGTGATTCTCAATAAAGACAGAGAGGATGGGCTGCTGCAGTCTTCAAGCTGTTTGCCCCCTGCCTTCATGCTCTCTGGTTTGGTTTGTTGTTGTTGTTTTCTCCACCTTGGTGTTCCCGTCTCGCTATTTCTTTGTCCCAGGTTGACAACACTTATCTTTTGCAGCATGACATCCTTCTCTAGGGACTGGTTCCTGGTGAAAATATGCACAAAGTAACTGAAATGAAGTTTCCCTATAGATGCCTTAAGGAACACTTTGATTGAACTTCTGTCAAGACAGATTTCTTTTTGTCAGTCCATAGGGTATTTGATACTCTTCACCAACAACACAATGCAAAGGCATTGATTTCACTTCCGGCATCCCTATCCATTCTCCAACTTTCAGATGCACAGGAAAAATTGAAAAGCCCATGCTTGGATCAGATTTACCTTAGTCTTTATACTAACATCCTTGGTCAGTAGAACTTTGGAGAGGTCTTTGATAGCAGATTTTCCTAATGTAACACATCTTTGGATTTATTGGCTACTCTTATTATGAGTGTTGATTGCGGATGCAAGTAAAATGAAATAATTGACAACTTGGATATTTTCTCCATCTATCATGAAACTATCTATTGGTCCAGGGATGAAAATTTTGGTTTTCTTGATGGTGAGATGTAATCCATACTGAAGACTGTAATCTTTGATCTTCTGTAGCATGGGCTTCCAGCCTTCTTCACTTTATGCTAACTAGATTATGACAACTGCATAACACGGTCTTCCTTCAATTCTGATGCCACATTCTTCCTCATATAGTCCAGCTTCTTGAATTATTTGCTCCAGATAAAAATTGAATGGGTGTGGGAAAAGTATACAACCTTGACTCAGTCTTTTTCTGGGTTTAAACCATTCAGCGTTTCCTTGTTCTATTTGGGTGGACAATTGCTTCTTGGTCTATGTATAGATTTCACATAAGCACAATTAAGTGTTCTGGGATTCCCATTCTTCTCAATATTGGCCATGATTTGTTATCATCCACACAGTCAAATACCTTCACATAATCAATAAAACATAAGTAAACATTTTTCTGGAATTCTCTACTTTCAGCCAAGCTCCACCTGACATCAGTGATGACATCCTGCATGCCACAGCCTCTTCTGAGTCTAGCTTGAATTTGTGGCAGTTCCCAATCATTGGTAATGTTCCAGCTCTTTCTTAAAAATCTTCAGCAGGATTTTATTTGCATTTGATATTAATGATAATGTTCAGTAATTTTCACATCCTGTTAGATCGCCATTTTTGAGAATGAGAACAAATATAGATCTCTTCTAGTCAACTGTCTAGGGGGTTCTTTTCCCTATTTGTTGGCAGAGATTGACCAGTATGCCCATGGCTGCATTTGTTTCCTGAAACACCTAATGGTATTTAACAGTATTCCATTACTTCCTGGATTCTTAGTTTTCACCAATACCTTCAGTGCAGGTTGGACTGCTCCTTCTGGTACCATTGGTTCCTGACCATATGCCACTTCCTGAAACGGTTCAGTGTTTAATTCCTTTTGGTGCAGTGACTGTGCCTTCCTTCCAGCCTTTTTTTTTTCAATTCTTTCTGCCTCACTCAAGATTTTGCTCATAGAATCCTCTAGTATTGCAACTAGAGGCTTAAATTTGTTCATAAGTTCATAAGTTCTCCCAGCTTAAGAAATGGTGAACATGTTCTTCTCTTTTAGTTCTCCAACTCCAGCTCCTTACACATTTCATTATAACACTTTCCTTTATCTTCTTGAGCTGCCTGTTGAAATTTTCAGTTCAGCTCAATTATCTCAGCATTCATTCCCCTTTGTTTTGGGCTGCTTTTCATTTCAATGCATCTCAGAATATTTTCTGATATGGATTTTGGTCTTTTCTTTTTTTTGCATATCTTTTTAATGACCTTTGCTTTCTTCATGGATGATATCTTTGATTCATTCTGCAACTCACCTGGTCTTTGATCATTAGTGGTCACTGCATCAAATATATTATATATTTCTTTATTTTTTTAAAGAGACCTTTGAGAACGTTATGGACAATAGAAGAACATTGCTGGTTATAGTGCCAGAAGATAAGCCCATCAGTTTGGAAAGCACCAAAAGAATGCAATTGGAAAAGAGCTGCCTTATCCAAGTAGAGCTTACTGTAATGACGCAGATGAAGCAAAAGTTTCACCCACTGAGGGACCTTCATTTTCAGATGTGGCAAGACACAAAATGAGGAGAAACAGCTGGTAACATCCAATACTAACTGTAACAAGGAATGCTCAAAATATGAATCTAGGAAAATTAGAAGTTGTAAGCAAATGAAATAGAAGGTCTAAATATTGATATCCTAGGCATTAGTGACTGCAGATGGACTGATACTGGCCATTTTTAATCAGTCACATGATCTATTATGCAGAGAATTACAAATTGACGAGAAACAGTGTGACATTCATCATCAAATGAGGAGCATTTCAAGCTCTATCCTAAAATACAATGCTATGAGTGATAAGATACTATGCATACACATACACAAGGATGTCCTGTTAATACTATCATCAATCAAATATGCATACGTACCATGAAAAGATAAGGAAATTTAGGATTTATACTAACTTTTGTAGCCTGAAATTTAACCAAACAAGTAATTAAAGTGCATGAATAATAATTGGTGATTGGAATGTAAAAGTTGGAAGAAGAAAGATTGGTAGTTGGAAACTTTGGTCTTGGTGATAGAAATGCAGCTGAAAATGGAATGCTATAATTTTGTATAAATAATAAGTTATTTACTGCAAATACTTTTTGAAAAAGCATAAATGGTGAATATGTACATGAACTTCACCTGATAGACTACTCAAGAGTCAGATTGACTACATCTGTGGAAAGAGACATGGGATAAACTCAGCATGAGCAAGTGGAAACTAGTCTAGGAACTGACTGTGAAACAGACCGTCTACTATTCTATGCAAGTTCAAGTTGAAGAAAAATAAAAACAAATTCACAAGAATCAAAATATGACCTTGAGTGTATCCCAACTGTGTTTAAAAACCATCTTAAGAATAGATTTAAGGGGAGCTCTGGTGGCCTAGTGACAAGAAGCTGTACTGCAATCCCAGAGGTACCCAGTTCAAATCCACCAGATGCTGTGCCGGAGAAGGAGGGACAATTTCCTCCTGTACCAGTCAGATCTGATTTGACGGTACATGCACAAAAAATAATAATAATTTTAAAAAAGAATAGATTTAATAAGGTGAGCTCTGGTGGCCTAGTGGCAAGAAGCTGCACGGTAATCCCAGAGGTGAGCAATTCGAATCAACCAGATGCTCTGCTGGAGAAGGAGGGGCAATCTTCTCCTGTACCAGTCAGATCTGATTTGACGGTACACACACATAAAAATAATAAAAATAAAGTTTTTAAAAATAATAGATTTGATACATTGAAAAGGTTAATAGGTATATTTAACTTTACAAATTTTAGGTGGTGCAAATAAATAGTTAAAACATTTAGCTGCTAACCGAGAGTTTGGAAGTTTCAGTCCACCTAAAGGTACATCAGACAAAGGCCTGTCAAATTACTTGCAAAAATTCCAGCACAGAAAATACTGGACTAGTCTTCCAACTTCTATATATTACACAGAGAGGTATTTGAGTTAGGTTGCCTTGATATAAGTTTTGTCCTACTTCTTATATGAGAACGACCCAAGCCAGGGTTCTAGGATGGTGTCCTTTTATCTGGTAACTTCAGCCTAGAAAGGATAGAGAAACCCTCAAAATTGTAGGGCCTGGAATATATGATAAAAATATGTTAGTCTTTGCAAGGCAAAGGTTTAGGTTATCTTATAGATATATTCTACCTTTTGAGATAGGTCACTGATCTAGTGTAGAGTCTTGAACCCTGGAGGTGAATTGAATTATTCTAGGCATATGCCACCTGCTTTCTGAGTAAAGGTAAGGGTCCATTTCATCTGGAGTCAAATGTAACTGTCCTTCTCTGGTTTCTTCTTCTGGTCTCCTAGGTGGTCTCTTTCCTCTCCTGGCCCTTTGGGGCTGTGCTTACTGTGGTTAAGTACCATTAAAATGGTACCAACTCATAGCTGACCCTCCAGAGGGCTTTCAAAGGCAAGAAGTTACATCAGGGTGGGGAATTACCCATCTTTCTCCCATGGTGAATTAGAACTGTGTGCCTTTAGGTTGGTAGCACAACCCCTTACCACTGGGCTGTCAGAGCTCCTTAATGCTGTGCGAGGTACTTGCAATAACTGCCTCGACCCTAGATTCCTGAGGAAGTAGGGCTTCCCTTGACTTGTTACCTGATAATTTTTGGTTTTTAATCAGCTGCTGGTAGGAGATATATTGTGCAAAAATTATCAATATCTTCTTGGACAGATTTTCTGCACGCTGACTCAGCTGTCGTAGCAAGTGGTCCTTGATCCACACCTGCTGAAGCTCTTTTAGTTGCCCTACGGGAGAATACGGTTATTACATTCCAGAATTTGAGAAAGAAAAAGATGTAATAATAGGGTACTTACTGCTCTAGATGAATTGTGTCCAAGAATGGAATGTCCACGCCTTACTTTGCTTTTGACTATAAATGTGATTGTTAAGGGTTGGATTGTGTCCTACAAAACAGGTGCTGTAATCCCCCACCCCCACTAACTATATTCTCTTTAAAAAAAAAAAAGAATGTATTGGTTTGCTTACATACATTGTGTTTCACACTATCCTTCATCCACATTGTGTTTCATACAATCATTCTCATGCATTGTGCTTTCTTATATTAATCACTACTGGACTATGCCCATCATTACCCTGTCTTCTCAGGTCCCCATTGGCTCCTTCCCATCTCCTTCACTCTCTCCCTCCACAACAAACTGTACAATCCTGTGGTTCCGCCCCTCCCCATACTCACCCCTCTGCTCCTACCTCTTACCCCCTTGGGTCCTAATATATGTTTTATTAGTTATCCTTCTATTTTTACAATAATGGTCTTATGCAGTTATTTGTCCTTATGAAACTGAGTTCATCCATTCGGCATAATGCTCTCTAATCTCTCCCAAGTTATGTAGTATTTTTTTAAAAAAAAATCATTGCTTCTGAGGGCTGCATAGTATTCTATGACATGATGTACCCCAATTTTTCAATCCATCCAGTTGTGGTTGGACATTTGGGCTGTTTCCATGGACTTGCACTGGTAAAGAATGCTGCTATAAATCTTAATACCTGTAATTGTTACACTCACATTTAGGAATTTGATTATTTTACCATGCTAATGAGGCTGTATTCTTGCAGACTAGGTCGTCATTCATGCTCTCTTTTTTGAATAAGCAAGAGATGGGAAAGGCAAGTGAGCAAGCCGAGATGAGAAAAGAAAACTACTCAGCCATGAGATTTCACTGGAATCAAGGAGCAAGGGTCTTCCTGTGGAGCCAGTAGGTGAAGTCTCCTCTTACTATGGTGGCCTGAATTCAGACTTCTGGTCTCCTCAGTAAGAGCTCTAGTGGATAGGGAGTTGTGCTACCAACTTAAAGGAGGATTGTTTTCTCAGAATCACCAGGTGCTTTTGGCTTAGGAGCAGAGGAAGCTGAGCATGGGTCCCCCCCACACACCCCTCCATGCCCCACCCTGAGGATGGGTCTCTGGTGATTTCCCTGGATCACAGTCCTGCCAGAGGATCTTCTGTCCCATAAACACCCGCTTGGGAGGATAGACATCACTCCATGCCTTGCTAACATCATTCCAGGAGGGAGAGCTCAATGCATCATCCTCTGTGAAAATAACAACTCGAGACTTTTTCTCATGCTACCTTCAAGTCTTCCTTACACCTGAGAACAGCCAAGCTCCAGGCATCCAGGAGGAGCACTGCACCCCGTGTCCTTTTTCTTAGGGGCAGAGCAAACTCTGCCACCAACCACCAGGCTCTGTGGGTGCAGAGGTGGTCAATGGAGGGAGCAGTTTTACTTACCTTCTACTGCCCTGAGGGATAAAATACTAATCAGGGTTGTTTTCTGTAGGTTCTTCTCCATAAAGGCGGTGGCATTCTCCATTGAGGACAGTATCAGTTTCTCTGTGGTGGTCTTGAACCCTGGGTTGTCTGGTGCTGACATGAAGAAGGGCTGAAGCTGTGATGCTTCCAGCAGCAGGAGCAGGAGTAGCCACTTCAAGGTAGACATGGTTCCCTTCTGCTTCCAGCTTGTAAGATGCTTCCACACTAGGTGTTCTGGTCCTGATGCCTCTTTTATCTCCTTTCAACTCCTCACCCTCCCTCTCTGCCTTCCCTGCCCTCCACTTCCTCCTCTTCCTTTTCCTCATTCTTCAACTCCTCCTCCAAATATCAAATAAGGAGCTGGGAAGGGTTGCATTGCCTAGAGTGGTTGAACAGACACATTCCCCTAAGAGGATTGTGAGAAGGACAGTTACAGGGGGTTGTCATCTTCTCAGTTAACAACATGTGAACCATTCCTGCATATCTTCATGATCGTTGATGTGTTTGAGGCCATTGTTATGGCATTGTGTCAGTCTATGCAATTTGTGACATGAATCCGATTATGATATTATCATAACTAACTTGAACCCTAATAACACAACAGTTACAATGAGTGAAGGGTGTTGTTACTGTCAGCCTTACAGGTCATTCTGACCTGGGGACACTCCACTGTGTTATAGAGGTTTAACTGTTCCCTAGGGTTGTCAATGTTGTCACACTTACAGAAAGGTGTCTTCATGCCTTAATGGCTAAGAACTTGTGTTTGGAGACACTGTTTCATGGAAGAAGGATGTGGCAGTCTGCTTCTCCAAGGATATCAGCCTTGGACACTCCATGGAACAGCTTGACACTGTCCTAGAAAGTCACTGTGAATCAAATTGAACTCAGGAGAAACACCTTTTTTTTGTCGTCATTGTTAATCTTCACAGAAGTAAATGCTGTTCTTAAGTGCCACCAAATTGAGTAGAACTCTTAGTAACCTCATGAACAACCATCAGAAACCTGTCTTATCCTGTGCCATTCTCACAATCCCTGACACACTCAAGCCACTTGCTGCAGTCACTATGTCAACCCACCTGGTTGAGGGTCTTCACCGCCCCTCCACCTTCCCAAGCATGATGTTCAAGATGCCCAAAGTATGTGAGATGAAACTTCTTCACCTTTGACTCCAAAGAGCACTCTGGCTGCACCTTCTGTGAAATATTACTGTTCATTCTTTTGGCAGTCCATGGGATAATTGGCATTCTTCTCTAACACCACAGCTGAAAGGCATGAGTTCTGTCATCCTTAGTCACTGTCTGGTTTTCGGATGCATAACAAGGGTATGAAAAGGCTATAGCCTGAGTCAGGCACACTGTAATCCTCAAAATGACATTATTGCCCCTCAATAATTTGGAAAGTTCCCTAAATACAGATTTTCCCCAGTCCAATACGTCTCCTGAACTCCTGACTGCTGGTACTAAGTGTATGGATTGTAGAGCCGAGCAAGATGAAGTTGTTGACAGTGTCAGTCCTTTCTCTGTCTATCATAACCACCCGGAATAGTGGCAAAATAATCTCACATCAAAGCAATCTTCTCTTTGGGTGGCCTGGAAAGAATGTCCAGCCCCTTCCCGGCAGCAAGAGCTCCCACTACTGGCCCCGGTGTAGCTTCTGGTCTTGGTGGTCATGCCAACTCCCTAGTACTTGATGTTCCACGTCTGCACTAAGACTTCCCTCACTGCATAGGTCACATGCAGGTTTGGCACGCACTGAGTTTCTGGCTATCAGGTTTTTTATGCTGGCCAACCATATAACCACCGTAAAATGACACTCTCAGACAGAAAGGACAACTTCACTGGAGCCGCCTCTCCACCTCAGTGCCTGGCAAACTTTCCTGCCAACATTGGTGTCATCTACCTTGACTGCTTTTATGCTTTTTTTTAATCCGAACATATTGTAAATTGTATATAGACTTTAACAACAACAACAAAAAAAGAAACCATGTCCATTCAGACAGCAGTACAAAGTGTTGGAGTCTTAGACAGAGAAGAAAATAAATGCAACTCAAACCATAAATAGAGCAGATTTACTGATGTGATAGAGACTGGTAAAGTCTCTGAGGCTGTGGCCCGTAAACATCTTTCGAGCCTGAAGTGAATCCACTTCTAATGATCAATTTGCAGCCGAAGAAGTGAACAGTCTCTCAAGTGAACAGTAGTACCATAGAGGAATTTAAATGAATGAATGAATGAATGAATGAATAACTAAATAAATGAATGAATAACTAAATAAATAAATGAATAACTAACTAACTAACTACATATATATATATATAAAATCAACAATGAGGGTTCAAAAAGATAGCATGTGCATTAAAACAAACTAAATGCAAGAAGACAAAGGAAAGGGGAAATGGATATGATGAACCCAAGGTGAAGAGGGAAAAGCACGGTTCTGCTAAATGGAAAAGTGTATATAAATAGTTGAATGGAAAACTAACTTGCTACATAAACTTTCACCCATATTTACAATGAAAAGTTAAAAAAACAAAGCCAAATTATGTTTCACTATTATTTTCATGTACCATCAAGTCATATCTGACTCAAAGCTGACCCTTCAGAGAGTTTTCAAAGGCAGTAAATCACATGGGAGGAGACTGCCCATCTTTCTTTCACAGAACAGCAGGTGGTTTTGAACCATATGACTTCTGGGTTGACTGTGCAGTTCTATATCCTTAGGCCACCAAGGTGAACAACTTGTTTCGTTTGGCATATAAAAGAAACACAATATAATAAAAATATAATTTTTAAACAATAGCCACACTGAGCTATTGCTTATCAAGGTTGAGGGACACAGCTTACCCTCTGTGTTTTGTCTATTCCTTTTGTCATGGAATAGAGTGGTTATGGGAAAGCACATGCCGGCAGCGTGTAAAGTGCCTGTGAATCATTCAAGTCTTCCAGCAAAGTTCATGGACCATCCAGGGTGAGCTCCTATGACAGCCTTTCAGAAAGAGGTTCCCTTGCTGAGAAACTGAGATCATGTTGATGAAGTTGCCCTGCTGTCCTCACCATAGGGCCTTCCAGAACCTGCAGTTTCCACAGCTACCATTCATTCACCTTGGGCAAAGAGTAGACAAGGGATCAATGCTTTGTTGTGCCAAGAGTTTGTCAGAGCAGCACTAAGCTTGTGAGGCCCCCCAGGGTTCCTAGTACTGCATAGAGACATGGAACATTCCTTATTTGGGTCTCAGCAGAGCCCTATGATATATATTGTTGTTTGCCTTCAAGTCAAGAATGGCTCATAGTGACCCTATGAACAGAAGGCCTGAAGCCCTTCTACAACTGTCGACATTCATGAAATTTCATAGTTTCCAGAGGTATGTTGTTTGGGAAGTGGATGCCACTCTGATAGATAGATAGATAGATAGATAGATAGATAGATAGATAGATGATAGATAGATAGATAGATAGATAGATAGATAGATAGATAGATAGATAATAGAGATAGAGATAGGTATATAATGATATGGGGCAGAACTCACTCAGCATTTCTCAATTTCAAGGAACTGAAGAAAAAAGTCAAGCCTCGAATTGTAATACTTAAGCATGCTTTGGGCAAAATATTAAACGAGAAGTATTAAAAGAAGATGGAAAGGATATACAGAATCATTGTATCAAAAGAAATTAGTGGACAAAGAAGAATTTCATGAAACAATATATGAGCAAGAGCCTGTGGTGATGAAGGAAAAAAAGTCAAGCGGCTCTGAAAGAATTGGAAAAAGAATAAGGCCCCAGGAATTGATGGCATATCAATTGATATATTTCAACAACCAGATACTGCTGTAGGTGTGCTCACCAAGTTGTACCGAGAAATCTAGAGGACAACCACCTAGTAAACTGACTGGAAGAGATCTATATTTATTCCCATTCCAAATAAAGGTGATCCAACAGAGAGTGGTAATTACTGAACAGTATCATTAATATCACATGCAAGCAAGATTCTGCTCAAGATTATCCAAAAATTACTGGAACAGCAAATCAACAGAGAATTGCCGGAAGGTCATGGTACTAGGGATAGATATTGTAGCTAATGTTAGATGGATCTTGGCTGAAAGCAGGTAATACCAGAGGAATGTCTATCTGTGTTTTATTGACTGCAAAGGTGTTTAACTGTGTAGACCACAACAAACTGTGGCTAACTCTGAGAAGAGTGGGAATCCCAGAACAATTGATTGTGTTTTTGTGAAAGCTATACTTGGGCCAGAAGGCAGTCATCAGAACAGAGCAAGGAAACACTGCATGGTTCAAAATTGGGAAGGGTGTATACCAGGGATGTGTACTATCTCCATACCTTTTCAGTCTATATGCAGAACAGATTAGCCGGGAGGCTGGGCTCTATGAGGAGAAATATGTCATCAGGATTGGAGGAAGACTCATCACCAATCTGTGTTCTGCAGATTGATAAAACCCTGCTTACTGAAACTGAGGAGGACCTGAAGCACTTGTGGCATAAGGTTAAGGACTGCAGTCTTCAACATGGGTGAAGCTCAATATCAAGAAAGCAAAGATTCTCCCCACTGGGCCAATTGGCAACATCATGATAGCTGGTGAAGAGATTGAGATTGTAAACAATTTTCGTTTGCTTCACTGCACAATCAACACTCTTGGCACCAGAAGCCAGGAAGTTAAAAGATGTATTGCATTGGGGAAGTCTACTGTAAGAGACATTTCTAGAGCACTGAAGGGCAATAAAGTCAGCCTGGAGACTTAGGTATGTCTGATACAGGCCATGGTCTGTATCAATTACTTGCTATGCATTAGAGAGCTGGACAATGACTAGGGATGATAGAAGGAGAATTGATGACTTTGAGCTGTGGTGTTGGAGAAGAGTATTTAATATACATGGATTGCTAAGAGAATGAACAAGTTTATCCTGGAGAGGGTGAAACCAGACTCTTCCTTGGAGGCAAGGATTCTCAGGCTTTATCTAACATACTTTGGACATGTTGTGAGAAGGGACCAGTCCTTAGAGAGGGATGTTATGCTTGGGAGGATGGAGGGACAGTGCAGGAGAGGAAGACCCTCGATGAAATGGATTGATTCAGTGACTGGGGCAATGGTGGTAAGTGTATCAGAGACAATAAATTTGGCACAGGAAAGAGTAGGGTGGTTATGAGTCGTGGGCAACTTGATGGCACATAAGAACAACAGATAGATAGATAGATAGATAGATAGATAGATAGATAGATAGATAGATAGATAGACAGCTATGGATAGATAGATACACAGCTATGGATAGATAGGCAGCTATCGATAGATAAACAGCAAAGACAGATATACAGCATAGATAGATAGATAGGTAGATAGCTAGATAATAGATAGCTAGATAATAGATAGCTAGATAATAGATAGATAGATAGATAGATAGATAGATAGATAGATAGATAGATAGAAAACAGGAGTAGCAGCCACTTCCTAAACAACATGCCTCCAGAAACTGTATGAACTTTGATAAGTGTTGATAGGGTCACTATCAGTCATACTTGACATGAAGGCAATCAACAACAACCACAACATATATACAGATAAGGAAAGTGAAAATCATATCATTAATGAGTACGTGTCATTATCCAGACTCAAACCTTCCCTGAGAACTAAAAGAATGTATCTGCGAGTACACTTTGGGGTGCCTTTAGGTCACCTCCACTTATAGGGGTTGGACCCCATCTCACATATCCAGTCTTATTACCAGTAG